ACAGCTGGGGAGAGCCAGGCACGGACGGGTGACTGCATCCGAGGCAGAACAGGTGCGGGGCTCAGGCTGTTCCCAGAGCTGCCGTGGCTCCCGCTGGCTGGGATGGCGGACAGGGATGCTTCCTGGAGGAGGTGGAAACTAAAGGGGGCCGGCAATATGGAAGGAGGGATTGGAGAAGGGCACTCCCAGTGGGAAGGAGGTCAGGCTGAGGGGTGTGCAGATGGGGGGTGATGTTCATTTGCACACTACTGTTGTAACCACTGCACACTCCTCAGGCCTCATTGACAAAGTTGACAACTTCAAACCGCTGAGCCTGTCCAAGCTGGAGGACCCGCATGTGGACATCATTCGCCGGGGAGACTACTTCTACCATAGCGAAAACCCCAAGTATCCAGAGGTACGCAGGGGCGTGGGCTGTTCACGTAGCGGAGATCAGGGCCCTGGGAGTGCCGCCCCTCGGACAACACACAGGTGGCACATTCCTGCTTGGGACGTGGATTTGGTTCAGTTGAATCCGCTTGGCCAAATGAGATTGGAGGGGAGAAGCCTCGAGGTCATGGGAGCACCTGGGCAACAGCGTGGAGGCGGGAAGAGCGTGTGAGCTTTGGGGTTCGACGGTGCCAGGGACACAGGCCCAGGCTGGCTGCTCCCGGCCTCACTCAGCCCGCTTTTCTTCCCAGGTCGGAGACCTGCGCGTGTCCTTTTCCTATGCGGGGCTGAGTGGCGATGACCCTGACCTGGGTCCAGCTCACGTGGTAACCGGCTTTCACGGGGCAGAGCCAGGCAGGGCCTCCTACCCTTCCCCTGTGTGCGGTGTCCTGAGCACTCAGGGCCCTTCCTCTAGGCCACGGGCGCATGCGCTTCCCTCTACACTCGGCCGTGCCTCTGAGCGGCTTTGGAGCCCTGTGTGCCCCGCAGCTGTCCGTGGGCACCCGGGGGCCCCAGGTTACGGGGCTGTTCCCCTGCGGCTTTACAGGGACCTCCTAATGATGCCGGTGAGGGTGCTGCCAATCGCAGGCAGCTTTTCTTCCCCCAGCCCTAGTTTTGGCTCAGGTGCCTGACCGTGTCACCTGCAGTCCCAGCCCTAGCCCCAGGCTGCTGCGCCGGGTACTCCCCTGAGCTTGGAATGAAGCGGCCCTGCCAAGCTCGGGGCTAGCAGGATCTCCTCACTCACGCCCGCAGCGGGCACACAGCGCGAGGGGTGCTGGGCTGGGCCGGCTGATCCCCTCGGCTCTGACGCTGAGGTCTCTGACCAGGTCACTGTGATCGCCCGGCAGCGGGGTGACCAGCTACTCCCCTACTCCACCAAGTCTGGGGACACCTTGCTTCTCCTACACCACGGGGACTTCTCGGCAGAGGTGAGTCGCTGTCGCCCATCTGTGTGAGTGAGGGGCAGGAGTCTCCCCCACCTCCCTGTCCCTGCCCGGGGTTATTCAATAAGCGCCCGCCCGAGAGGGCACAGCCGGTGCGGAGGCGGGGAGAGGAAACGGAGGGCGTGAGTCTGCAGCGGGCTGCGCAGCCCGAAGGGTGGAAGAGAGGGCCCCGCAGACTCCTCCTCCTCGGGCTTCCGTCTCCTGCGGGCAGTTGCAGGGGGTGGGGGCCGCTCATCAGAAGAACCAAAGAGTGAGGACCCCCTTGTGCTGAGGGTTGTGAACCGGGGGCGGGTGCCCTGAAAAGCGGACGGGGGTATGAGAGATTGACTCTGACAGTGGTCAGGGCAGGCCTCCCTGAGTGACAGTTTGGCTGTGTCACAAGTGAAGAGAAAGGGGCCAGAGCCGGCAGCATGGGGGGGTCAGGCAGTCACTGAGGCAGGAACGGGAGCACCAGGATTACTCCTGAGGATGCCGCCCGGACAGGAGGCGGGCCGGGGCCCCCGTGAGGGGTGGGGGTTAGAGCTCCAGAGTCCTGGCACTGGAGTGAGGGCCGGCACCCTGTCCCCATCTGTAAACTGGGGAGGGTCATGCCTCACCTGAGGCCCATTCTTGTGCTGATTACGGTCAGTTCAGTTGCATGCCCTAAAACTTAGCCTCTCTTCTCTAGGCAGAAACCCTTCTCTTTTTTATTTTTTTAAAGATTTCTATTTATTTATTTGAGAGAGAGGGAGAGTAAGAACAAGAGAAAGAGAGAGAGAGCGCGCGCGAGTGCACACACACCAGCAGGAGGAGAGGCAGACACGCTGAGGAGCAGGGAGCCCGATGCAGGGCTCGATCCCAGGACCCGGGGATCATGACCCGAGCCGAAGGCGGACGCTTAACCGACTGAGCTACTCAGCCACCCCAGAAACCCTTCTCTTTAATGGAAAAATCGTTTTGTGTTGTTGATGAACAGTGTGTCACCGGTGGGAAATTTTGTTCTTGCCTGGAGCAGGACTGCAGGACTTTTCAATCCATAAGGCGTTGAGATGGAAAGGTGGTGGGGAGGGGACAGGGCGTGGCTGTGGCCCTATGACCCTGTTATTAGGCCCTCTGCTGCCATCCTTCTCACTTCAGCCCCCAGCCCCAGGTGGTGATGGGCCCGCCTTCTCCTTTATCCAGGACCAGGGTGTGACAGGCCGCTGCTCACAGGCCCAGTTACCAGCTCAGGGAGGGGCTCCCACCTCCCACTTGGACAGGCATGAGTCACCCTTTCCATAGGCAGCTCTCAGCGAGTTTCTAAAATTAGGAGGCCCTGCCCAAGCCTCCTTTCTCTCCGGCAGCTCCGGCCCCACCCCACACTTCAGCCTCCTGCAGGTGGAGGTCTGGGTCTCCCAGCTGTTTCCCCAGAGAGGAGTGGCCTCCAAGCTTCCCAGGAGGGAAGGCTCAGACCGGGCTGATCACTGTGGGCCTCCGGCACAGTGTCTGGGGTTTCTGCCAAGCAGAGAGAGAAGGTCCTGAGCTGAAGAGGTAGCGAGGGCCCTGAGGAGGAACACGAACCCTGCAAGTCAGCGCACCCAGATTCTAGTCCCAGAGGCAGGAGGGCTCAGCGTGGACAAGTGTGGACACTGGAGACAGCCCCAGCTCAAGCCACACTCTGCCTTGCATGGGCTATAGGACCTAAAGCCAGTTGTTTATCCTCTTGGAGCATAAGACTTATGATCCCTACCTTACTTGGTTGTTGTAAAGATTATGCATCCACTTACTCCAAGCCTCAGTTTCCTTATCTGTACACTGGAGATAAGCGTGTCTACCTTGTGAAGTTAGTTTGAGGACTAAGTAAAGCAATACGGGAAAGCACCGAGGACAGCAGCTAATAGATGGTAGGCAGTAAGTGTTAGCTGCTGTTACTGTTATTGTCCTAGATAATGACGGGGGGCTCTCTAAGGAAATGGCATTCACGCTGACACCAGAACAATGTGTAGGAGCTGGCCAGGCATGACTGGGGGCAAACCTGCTCCAGGCAGAGCTAGCACATGTGCAAAGGCCCGGGGGCAGGAGGAGGACCCTTGACCTGCTCCCGGACAGGCGACAGGGCCTTGGCAGGTGGCCGTGGGGAGAAGGTGGTGGAAGCGGGAAGGCCAGTGGGGAAGAGGCTTTTGCAGTGGTCCTGGTGAGAGAGGGTGACGGTGGTGAGCGATTTGGGGAAATGGGGACACAGCATTGACAGGACTTGCTGATGGCCGGGTGGGAGGTGGTCCCTGCAGGGAGGAGCGAGCCAAGTGTGACACCCCAGTTTTGGCTTGTGCAGGTGGGAGGTGGCTGTAGCATTCGCTGAGGTGGACTTGACAGAGAGGAACAGGTTGGGGGGATGGGGGAGGCTGCAGGGTCGGTGTAGGACGGCACAGTGGGCAGTGGAAGGCCCAGGGCTGCAGCTCGAAGCCGGGGGACACTGGTGGGGAGGCGCCAAGGAAATGATGGAGCTGGCGGGGAAGGCGAGAGACTGCATCCGCCGCAGAAGTGCAGCATGCAGAGGGCAGCCCACTGAGAAGTAGCGGGGACGCGGAGAGCGAGGTGTCCCAGAGTCACGGGAAGAGTATCCGAGGTGAAGCACCACACGTGACGCTGTCAGGGGGTGGTGGGGGGGCGGTGAATGACCCCAGAAAGGAAGCACTGTCGTAGGGAGGGCCGGGTGCATGCCAGCTGACGCAGTGGGCCAAGGACTCCTGACCTTACACACTGCTGTCTTCTGCCCCGTCCTGTGCTGTGCCACACGGGCCGACGCTTAGGCCTGGGTGGGAGAGGTGCCCTTACTTCCCCTCCTCTGCTTAGAAACGGCCAACAGGTCCTAGGTTGGCATGGAATGTACCCCTCAGCACCTGCGCCACCAACTGGGGAGGCTGGGGGCCCCTCAGAGACGCAAGGCGTGACACCCATCCCCCACCTTGTCCTGCAGGAGGTGTTCCGTAGAGAACAGAAGAGCAACTCCATGAAGACATGGGGCCTGCGGGCCGCTGGCTGGATGGCCATGTTCATGGGCCTCAACCTCATGACCCGGATCCTCTACACCCTGGGTAGGTGTGCGGAGACAGGTCGGTGGGCGCGGGGGTGGTCCTGCTCACCCTCGTGCAGCCCGTGCGCCGTCTCTGCTTCTCACGCCGCCCCTGGCCCTTTGCGGCCCGCTGCAGTGATCCTCAGGGCAGAGACCGGGCATTTGGCCATGTCCGTGTCCCACTGCACGGCACTGGGATGAACGGGCTGAGGAAGGCAGACACGAGAGACAGGTGCTTCAGGGGTGGGGGTGGGAATGCCAGCCCCTAGGAGGGTGATCTAGGCCTCGTGATCTGAGGGTCTGGCCTGTCTGTCCCCAGCTCTCCTGCTGCTTCCTAGCCCTTCACTCCACAAGTGAGTGGGCACGGCGAGGAGACTAGCCAGCCTTTTGAGCCAGACCCAGAATCGGTTACGTCAGAGCTCTGGACACCTGGGCCGTTCCCTTTCCCGTCTCAGTTTCAGTGACCTCACACCTCATGGGCAGAGTTTTGTGAACGTTTGACAAATAGGAAACACCCCAAACCATAATGCTTCCCTCCTCCACCCCAAGACCTGGGCTGGATTTGGGGCAGCCAACAAGTTGGAGCACAAGGCAGAGTGCTGGGCCGCTCACTTGGCCCGGTCGGCACCTGTGAGCCCAGCAGTTGCCGAGTGACCGAGCCTGGCGTAGGACTGAGGCCCCGGGTGATTGAGTAAGTGCTGGCCCCACACTGTTGATCTGGGAGCATGGCGCATCTCAGGGGACTTGCATACAAACCTTTACCCCATCCGATGATTGCGTCCAGCCTGCGCTGGGCCCCACAGAAACCTCTCCCCCATTTACCCTTTCCCGCTGGGAAGAGGTCTGGCCACAGTATCTCCCAGGCTAGGAGGGAAAAGCACAGTTCCTCCCCTCCAAGGCTTTCTCTGGACCGCTGAGTTGGGCTCAGAACAGCCAGCCGCATCTTGCGCACCATTTGAGAGAGATCAGAATCTGATCAGAATCCTCCATCTTTCCTTTGCACTGAGCCCCTCCTGGCTGCGTGACCTTGGGCAGGCCATTTCCCCCCTCGGAGCCTCATCCCCCACCGTCAGATGAGGAAGTGGGAGTCCGGCTCAGAGGGCCCTCTGATTCTCTCATCTGGAATGCTGATGCTCAGACCCAGGACAGATGTCAGAGCGCAGAGGGGTCGGAAGTGCAGGTGGGGTGACAGGGGAAGCTACAAGACAGAAGCACTCATTCACTCCTCTGTCCGGGCAATAAGTACTTATTGAGTGCCTGCTGTGTGCAGAACACTGCTCTAGGCCCTGGAGACTATGCAGTGAGCAGGACAGACAAGGTCCCTGTCCTTTCAAGGCTCAGAACCATGGCTGAGGGCTCAGCTCTGGGCTCAGTTTTGGGTTTAAATCCTGGCTCTGGCACTTTCTAGCTCCAGGACATTGGGCAAGTTGAACTGCCTGGGCCTTGGTGACCTTGTGGGTAAAATGAGGGTAAGGATAGTACTAGCCTCCCTGGGCAGGCACGAGGATTTGAGGAGATGGTCCACATAGTGCCCGATGCATGGTCAATGCACAAAAACACGAACTCTGCTTATTAGGGGGGCCAAGGTGGGCAATATGTGGGAACAGACCAAGATGAGCCAAGAGGTGGCCTGCATGGTCCTTTAGTCATGTTAGGACAATAGGCCTTGCTCTGCAAACCCAGTGGCAGCAGACCACTGGGGCCTCCTGGAACTGAGGGAAGGCTCCCCCCACGGACTGACATCAGCTATGGGATGCCAACCTGGAGGGGGTAGACAGGCCAAGGACAGTGTAAGTCCAGATGGATTAGCTGGATCCTAGACTTTACCATATTGGGCCAGGAGCTAGTGAAATCCTTGAGGAGGGGGGCCGGCTCAGGCTTATTTCCCTCCGCCCCGCACAGAGATAACTGGTAATGACTTGAGTGAACAGACACCTCCAGGAATGGCCGGGGAGCCCAAATAGGCACCCACGGAAGGTTCTGCCCAGTCTCCTTTGTCAGTGTGCAGCAAATGGAATGTGCCCATCACGGGCAGATGTTTTCTATTGGCCTCAGACTGACAGCAACATCCATAGTTTTAGGGGCGACAAGGCACTTCCACCGGCCTGCTCCCGGGAGCGGTGCGTGGGGCGAGGCGCAAGGGGTGCACGCCTTACCGGGGTCCTCCGGCTCTCACAGGAGGCTGTTTGCCTTCCGCCCTGAGCCCTCTCCTGTCCCGGACCAGGCAACACGGGCCCATCCTCGTCTACAGAGGAATGATCTGCTCACCTCTGTGACACAGAGCGTGGTGGCCTCGGAAGCCTCACCACCTTTCTCTTCCTTACAGTGGACTGGTTCCCTGTCTTCCGAGACCTGGTCGACATCGGCCTGAAAGCCTTTGCCTTCTGCGTGGCCACCTCGCTGACCCTGCTGACCGTGGCGGCTGGCTGGCTCTTCTACCGGCCCCTATGGGCTCTCTTCATCGGCTCCCTGGCCCTGGTGCCCATCATCATTGCTCGGACGCGGGTGCCATCCAAAAAGCTGGAGTGAATCAGGCGCCGGCACCCGCCCCATACCTGCATGATCCTCAGGATCCAGCTCCTTCCCCCCCCCCCCGCCCCTCTTGACTGCGAGTCAGTTTGGGTTCTGCGCCTGCTCTGCTCCTCAAGGGGCCAGACTTGGCAGTGTGCATGGAGGTCAGGTTTGGTGTTCACCGCTTCACGTCTTCCCCACCCTTTTGCTTGCCAGTGGGCGGCTCTGGTGCGCAGAAGGCAGCTCCTGTCTGGCGGTGTGACGGGCGTTCTCCTTGCTTCCTTCCCTTCTCTTGGGACCGCGTATGGCCGGTTCACGTGTTTCGCTTAGCTGAAGTCTGCAGACAGGGAGGTGGTGACCCTCCGCACAGACCTGCTGCCTGGTCACTCACTGCCTCTCCTCCTTGGAGACAGGTGCCAGGGCTCTGCCCCAGCTGCCACCCGCTCTGTGAGCCCACGGGGCCAGCGTCCTCGGCTGTCTCTGAGCAGTGCTGAGCGCCAGGACGGACTAAAGGCATACCCCCCACGCGTGGGCGCCACACACCCAGCCTGGGCACAGAACCCGCCTTGGTACTTAAAAATTACCACCACCACTGAGGTCATTGGGAGCAAAATTGGACATTTGGTGGGCCTGACATGGATTTTATGGTTTGGCAAGAAACTTCTTCGTGTGTAGGACTTCCAAAGGTCCCGTCGGTTATGTTTGCCTTTGTTACACTTCATGGGTAATCTCCTACCCGAAGAGGGGGTTGTTTCAAATCAAGATTTAAAGAAAGCACTGCTTGAATGATGAGCAATTCAGACTGTTACAGAAAAACTTTGTAATCTGTCCGTTGAAGTTAATTCAGGCACAGGAAGGTATTACACTGGGGTGTGACGTGGTGGCTTAAAAAGTTACCTCTGGCAGTACTCGGGGCCAGTGGGAGGCTTGAAGATGCTTCTGAAGCCAGTGTTAGCCAAGGGATTCCACTCTGGGAGGAGATGGGATTTGTACAAGGCGGAGAAAGGCATTTCCTTTCATCCTTTGGCATCAGAAACTATCGATTTCCTTGAAGATGAGTTTTGAGTTTTTAGTCAACCTTTAAGGAAGAGGCTGGAAGCTTTCTGATCCTAAGTGGGCTCCCTCAGAGTGACCCCCATCAATCTGAATCAGGAACTGGAGGCCTGACCTGAGGCTTGTGCAGCTCCCGGGCCTCATTCCTTCCGTGGAGGGGTGTGGAGTGGGGGCTTTCGAGTTAGCCACTGGGCCCCGGCACCTGCCTCTGAGTGACTCCTGTCACGTCTGCAGCTTCACTCCTACGTACAGTCTACCTGCACTTCACCCCGTCCCCTCTCACCCCCACTGAAAGAGCAAGTATGTTGTCACTTTGATGGTTTAAAAGATCTTTCCTGTACCCTTTATCTTTTTATGACTTGGACTTGTTCTGCCTGGCTGGGAGCGGCCGCTTTCGCAAATTAGTCTGTGGTTGAGTAAGTGATCAGAACTCCTGAACCTAGCAGCCTGACAATCTCTCGTTAGCCTGCGAGGTCTGTGGTGTGGCTTGAGATTCTTCATGCCGACAACAGCCGGCCCCAGAGATGACTTCTCTGGATTTAAGAACTGAAATAGTATTCACTACTGCAGTTGTCACTGAATCTCTCAACTCTTAAAGGATGCTTCTGGAAATAAATATAACTAGGTGGTAGCTACATACAAAATCTGGGATTTGGTTTGTGTAACTTTTCCTAGTACAGATTTTAAATTACTACGAATTTCAATAGTGTTTTTAAAAAGAGCAAAAGAATGTTAAGAAATATTTGAAGTCTTTGGGAAACCATGAAATTTGTATTATCTTTGTATTTTTTGAAACAATTCAAAATAAATTTCGAAATAGCTTTTACAGGACCTTGCCATTACTCTTTTTTTGAAATTTCTATCTTAAACAATTCAGCCGTAGAACTGATTAAGAACCGTATGAATTTTTAGAATTCAGTTCTTAAGTAGCTTTTAGTGGTTAAAATAGGCTTCAATTTTTCCTAAAAGGGCAACTCGGTATTTTTAGCACTTACAAGCCTTATCTACCAAAGCCCACTGTTTTGGATTGATTTAAAGGACTCAAACGTCCCCCGGCTTCAGAATGCGTCAGAAGAGGTGGCTGGAGCCACAGTGGGACATCGTGTGACCAGCCCCCCCCCCAGGCTTTAGGTTGGCACAGACCCGAGTTCCAGCCCCAAGCCTACCACTGCCTGGCTGTGTGACAGTGGCGAGTCTGCGATCTCTGGGTCTCAGCTTCCTCATCTAGAAGATGGCAGTGAAAATGGCTTTTGTCCCTACGGCGCTGCGGCAGGGACTCGATGAGCTCAGGCCCACGAAATGCCTGATGGACGGCCCAGCAGCTTTTCCCTTTTGCCTCCTGTTCGGAAGCAATAGGTAGCTGCTGACGGGCCACTCTGGAGCTGACAATTTGTGTACTTTTTGTGACAAGGTTTGAAGCAGGTGATTTCCCAAAACCTGCTCTTCTTTCTCAGACCTGAGGTTCCATTCCATCACGCCTCCAACGAGCTGACATCTGCCCAAAGAACAAGTTGCTGACTTCCAGGAGAGAGTGGGCTCTGGCGCCGGAAGCTTGAGGCACTGCGGTTTCCATGGCAACCCCGGTTGGTTTCTCCACACCAGCCTTCCAGCCAAGCTCTTGCTGCAGATGAGTCACACCGCAAGTGTTTTGTTTGTTTCCCTTGGAGAGAACTGGCTCAGAGTTTTAATGGCTCCCGTCAAAGGTTAAGTAACAGCTCTCCTCGCTTAAACGTAGAAAGAAAAATTTCCATGTGTGGAATGAGGAGTTCCCGGTCTACCTGAGAACCAAACCTGGTCTTTAGTCTCAACACGCGCACAAATCACTCTGTCATGCAGGTGTTCTTAGCTGACCATAAATCTGGAAGAAAAGGCAGAGCTGAGTCTTTTTAGATAAATGTTTTATTTCTTCCTCAAAATGTTACAAAAGTTATTTCTCCTGAATATCTACAATGCATAGAGCTTTTATAAACTTATCCATGATGAATAAAATCTACTTGAACACTGATCCACTTTGACTAACATTTCTTCAACTCTCAGTGTTTTTCCTTTTCTTCCCTGATTTTAGCTCTTTGTTCCAGTCTTCTGCCACCCTGAAGCATTCCAAAAAGTAGATCCCACCACCACCATTAATCTGAGATGCCCCTACTTCCCACCTGCTCCCCCCCACACCACAGAGAGGCAGCGTCAGGCAGTGTTAGGACACCTGGCTGAGGGAAAAAGGTGTGGCCTGCAGGAGAGGCAAAAGCACGAGGGTCTGACAGATGAAGAACTCACCTAGAAGGGATTGCTGCATTTCTAAATTGCCCACTGGTTTCTGTGAAAAAAACGGACTCATGTTTTCAAAGGTGGGCCAAGCAACATCTAGGTGGCAGGGCAGTCTCCTAGGAAGTGTTCCGGAGCTCAAAGCACAGGGCGTGGGAGCAGGGGGACAGCTTTGAAACCCCTACCCTGGGTCTGTCTTGGCAACGCCCGGGGCCAGCCCAGACCCACGGCACCACCTCAGCTTGACCCCTCTGTCCCCCAGCCCTCATCCGTGGTGCACGGAGCTTCTGGGTCTTCTCAGAGGAGACGCCACCACCACTAGGGCCGGCACATCCCCCGGGGCCCCGTGTAGCACAGGGTGTGACAGGTGGCCACCCCCGTCACAGCCTCTCAAAGGGGAACAGGTGGGAGGCCGCGGCCGCCTTCTCCCTTTTGGTCTTCTGAGGGCACTTTGGCTTCTGCTCTTCTTCAGCCTCTCGGTTTTGGGGCCAGGAGGCAGCCAGGATCCTCGATGCTTCTGCTTGAGAGCTGGTGCCCTCCTCTTCATCAGAAGAGAGTCCATCTCCGGCAGGTGCTTGGGGAGCTCCTGCCTCACTCTGGAGAGGGAGGGACAACGGCAGGCCTGGAGTCGGCCGTCAGACGGCAGGGAGCACCGCCGGGGGGCAGTCAAGCCTCCAGCAGCAGCCTGCCCTGAGCCAGTGACTCTGGGAGGACAGGGGCACCACGTGGGGCTGGGGGAGCCTCGCCCTGGGGACTCCGCCAAGCAGGTACTGGAGAACTTGCCCTGGGCTCAGGGCTGGGAAATGCAAAGATGTTTACGCAGGAGACTGCCCTCAAGGATCGTACAGCCCAACCTAAGAGATCCCAGGACTGGTGCTTTGCACTTCTTTACCTCACTTCTGCACAGAAGCGCACTCACGTCTTTAACTGCCCCGGACCAGCTCTCCCTGCCAAGTGCTCCGAGGAGGCGCTCCCTGACTGCAGGGCCAGCTGGGCGGGGGAGCTGGGCATGGAGGCTTTGGCTGCACGAGGTGAGAGCACGTGGGGGGACGGAGTCAACATAAAGCCTGGTGAGAGGTCACCAAAGGGATGTGAGGGAGGAGTGTGACAAAAATATTTTGCCACTTTTAAAGGCAAACTGGCAGCAGTTCGGGGCTGGAGACGGGGAGACAACAGGTGCGGTTATGGCTGTTCCCAGAGCACATTTGTGTGTCTGACCCAATACTGATCTCACCACACAGCCGCGTGGAGGGGCCTCTCTGCCCCTCTGGGAGCGCCTTGAGGGCTGCATGTCAACTCCGCACAGGTTGGCCCAGCCCAGGGCAGGTGCCATGAAACATGACTTAAGTGAGCAACCCCAGGCCTGGAGGACGGCCACAGGCGCAGGGAGCCTGTCTCTCCCCGGATGGTTTAGCACGAGATCAGATCCCCAGCAGACACCTGCTTGTGGCAGACGGGAGCAGGACAGGGATGTCGGGGTCGGGCTGGGGGCCGGAAGAGCCAGCTGAGGTGGACTCCAGGGACACCTCTCCCAACAAGGTTAGCACACAGATGTCTCAGAGACACAGGACTGTGGTGTCAAAACACAAGGCATCTCTGGGCAGAATCCGGGCCCATAGTTCTGGGTCCCCTTCTCCCACCTGGGCTTGTCTTCTTTCCAAAAGAGCTGCACTGACCTTGTCCCCATAGCGAAGCTTCAGCCTCTCCCGGATGAGCAGTCCCCTGACCAGCAGCTTCCAGTTCCCCAGGGCCCGCTTCTCTCTTTTCTGCAGGCAAGATGAAACGGAGAACACAAAATGTTACGTACTGTCACTTTCAGGAAAAGTGTCAAGATGGAGTCTATGAACATATAAAGATCCAAAATAAGACTTTTTGGTTAAAAGAGTCCCTCAACCATGCCGAGTCTGTTTTAAAAGGAGTGTGATTTATAAAGTGATGCACATAAAAGGCAGCAAAACAGAAGCCTCTTTTTAACTGGTAGTGACCCTGGCATCTTCAAGGAGGAGGCTTGGACCATAGCAGTTCCCTTCAGCAGAGTCAGGCGTGGACAGCAGGTGCAGTAGCCCCTGGAGCCAGGGTCCAGTACACGGTGGACACAGATGCTGGACGGTGAGGTGGAGGCAGGACCCCATTTATCCGGGGCTGGCTCCCTAGGGTGCCTTCTGCAAAGTCTGAGAGCCGGAAAGGGCTTTGGGGCACGTAGCCTCTCCTGTTTTAACCCACAATCAAGTGAGGCACCTGCCCCACCTGGGGGCTCGTGTTCCCCTGCCGCTCTGCTTTCGCACCTCAGGCCCCCGCCCTGGCCAGACGGCTCACCTCCTTCTCCCGCTTCTCAATGAGCGCCTGCTCATTCTCCCAGGCGGCCAGGAGCACGTCTTTGTATTCCTCGCAGACAATGTACCCGTCGGTTCTGTAAACAGGCAACGCGGACAGCCTCACTTGAGGCTGCCGCCTGCTCTGGCCTCTCCTCCCCCTTGCGGAGGCCGGCCAGCGGCTCCCAGGCGCTCGGAGCCCTGAAGGCTTTCCGGTGTCAGGCGCCGCAGTCCCAGCCACAGCTGCTGGCAGCGCCCATGCACAAGGCAGGCCTGTGGACTCTGGCACCGCGTCCTCCCAGGCCCCCCACCCCGCCCCGGGAGGACAGAGGCCACCTAACCAGGAAGCATGCTGACATTGCTTGCTCCCCCGCCCCCGCCCCCAGGAGACGGTTCCCATCTGGCCTCATGAGCATGCGGTTTCCCTGGTTTTGCTGCCTCTGCGTGGGGGCAGAGTCGCCAGAGTGAAAGTGTGGAAGTAAAAGGTAAAGTGTTAAGGTTGACTTGGCAAATGCAGAGTAAAACCTGGAAAATGGCCTCAGCCCGCACATGGACTTCCTGCCCCTGCTCCAGGATGCCCCAGCCCTCTGGCCGGCCGCCGGGGAAGGCCCCTCACGCACATGGGATGGGAGTAGCCTTTATGGAAATCGAAGCCAGTGATGGCCTGGACACAGTCAATGTCCAGCTTGCGGGCCACGCGGTGCAGGTTGGGCAGGTTGAGCTGGACGCAGCCGACGGGCATCATGCTGGGCAGGAAAAGGTACACGTTCCCAAACTCATTCCGGGGGACCTGCAGAAGGTGGCAGGGCGGGTGTAGCCAGCAGCAGCGTGAGGCGGCCCGGTCCCGACCCCTCGGAGCGCTGCCCTCACCTTGCCGTCCACAGCCACGGGCGGCTGGTACTCCTCTGTCTGCCACTCGCCGAACAGGCCCAGGTCGTTGTGGTCCTGCAGCTGCGGCTTGGCGAGGCGGGCTTTCCGGGCCCGGTTGGAGTAGCCTTTCACCATCTGCCCCGGAGGGACAGCCAGTTGACAGAAGGACTGCCGCTTCCTAAGCACTTACTGTATACTGGGCACCGTGCTGAGGGCTTTCCTAAACCCATGGCCTCATTTAACCTCCACAACAGACCCGAGAGGCACGTGCTTCTTACCCCCTTACAGGGCCCAGTACCAGCGCGACCCCGGGGATGGCCACCACTAGCCAACACCTGCAGATGCTCCCTGCCCCAGGCTGTGCCCAGCAAGGGGGTCCCATCGCTGTCTCCACTGCACAGCCAGATGAGCGACCCGGGAGCTGCAAACCATTTGCCTACAGCACAGTCCGGAACCAGGCTTTTACCCGCCACACCACGCTCTCTACTTTCATCACGAACAGGGTGACTGGAACTCGGAGATGCAGTCACTGAAGTCCCATGGCCAGGTGAGTGACAGGTCCAGGATTTAAACCCAGGAACTAGCTGTGTCGTGCATTCTGGAAGGCATTGACAGCTTGGGACCCCTCGCACACTCCCCGACCATGTCTAGTGGCCAAAAGTCTCACTGGGGAGGACAAGCGAGAAGGCTGCCTAAGTGCTCCAAGGAGAAGTGGGACAGGCACACCGGGCACCTCTAGCGCAGGGCTCGGCACATTTTTCTGGAAAGGGTCCCGGGCAGCCTGTTTTACAACCCTTAAATGTCACATGTCTTGCTTGCTCTGAAAGATCCATCTTACAAATTCCCCATTAGAGTAAGATATTTGAATGCTTTTTGCTTCCTCCAGTCTTTCTCAAGCCAGAAAAGTCAGCCCTGGATGCCTCTCCCCGCGCGCCCTCCGCAGCCCTCAGTGCCCAGGCGTCTGCCTGCAGGGCGCCCCCCGTGGTTACCTTGTAGGGCACTTCTCCCAGCCTCACCACTCTTGCCTGTTTCAGCCACGTGTCCCGGGAGTGCAGGGTATGCACGCAATCCCTGCGGGAGCCAACAGGGGGAGACACAGAACAAACTCAGTTCACACCCGGCCCGAAGCTGTGTGTGCGAGGCCTCCCAGAAGGAAGGGCTTGGCCCTCGACTCTCTCCTCAGGCCCGGCTCCTGAGCGAACCAGGGGACCTGCGGTGGGCAAATGGCTAACCTGGACTTCCTATCTTCTCGGGGGTGTGTCCACTTACACTGGGACCACGAGCTACTGAGTTACCACGGAATGAAGATGATCGCCTGTGGAACAGTCAAAATTCCTGGCAGCCTGTGATTACAGAGAGCCTCCGGCTTCACTCTCCTTCCAGAGCTAAGAGCTGTACCTGGCCTTGCAAGACTACTTTCCAGAGTTCCAACTGCCTTCCTCCCTGAGCCTTCTCTGACAGGGCACACTCATCTCTTCCTCAGTTCGCAACCCTGCACTCTGGCCAGAGAGCGGGCTCCAGTGCGCGAGGGCGCGAAGTTCCCTTCCAGCGTGCAGACCAGGCCCTCCAGCTCCTGCCCCATCAGAGGCATGCGGTGCGTGCCTCCTCTGTGCCACGGCCTGGCGGGGGGACCCTGCACAAGCCACTGTCCCTTCCTGAGCCTCAGCGGTGTCCTCTATCAGCCAGGGATAGTGAGCTCTGTCCTCTCTGCTTTGCCGGGCTGCAGGAGGACCAGACGCTTTCTGGGTGCTGGAGCAGAGCCTGTCCTGTCAGGGCTGGGACCCCCGGCAGGCTGCACAGCTCTGATCACCCAGAGGAGCAATTATGTCACGGTCATGGTCTTCACATGGGGGCGTGGGGGGGAAGCAGGCGGGCACTGTCAGGATGTTCCAAGGAGCACAGCGGGGAAGTGGACACAGCCCCGTCAGGATAAACCCCGACTTCTAACCACTTCACACCCATTAGGACGGCTATTACCCAAAAACCCGAAAAGAAGCGTTGGCGAGGGTGTGGGAAAACTGGCATCCTTGCATGCTGCTGGTAGGACTGTAAAACAAGACAGGCACTGTGGAAAGCAGGAGGTTGAGTCTTCAAAAAGTGAAACACAGAATTACCATGTGAGTAGCGATTCTACTTCTGGGCATATACACCCAAAAGAAATGACAGCAGAATCTCAAAGAGGTATGTGTGCATCCATGTTCACAGCGGCACTGCTCACCACAGCTGAAAGGGGAAGCACTGCAAGTGCCTGTCCCTGGAGGCCAGTCCCAAAAGGACAAATACTGCACGATCGCATTTACATAAGGTCCCCAAAGGAGTCAAATGCAGACAGTGGCATGGTGGCCGCCAGGGGCTGGGGGGGAGGGGCGAGATCCTGTTTCATGGGGACCGAGTTTCCGCTTGGGAAGATGAAGAAGTTCTGGAGACGGATGGTGGGGATGGTTGTACGATCCAGTCAATGTACTTAACACCACTGAACTGTACGCTTACAAATGGTTACATGGTACACGTGGTTTTGTATATTTCACTACCAAAAAACCTGTCCACCTCTAATGCTTTCTCCGATGACTGACGTGGTGGTCCCTGTGGACCACACCTGCTTCCTTCCCACCGGACCTACTTTGCCTCAACCACCTGAGGAAGCCTGTGCCTTACGACCTCTACCAGGGGGACTGGGCCCCGGGGCCTCCTAACTGCCGGTAGCTGAGGCCCTGACCAGGCCTGACGCCTCCTGACACGGAACAGAAAGCTCAGCCACAGACCCTGAACAGAGGGTGTAGGCTGTGTCCCTGCAGGGCTGCATGCAGGAAGTGGGCTGCACCCACTCAGAGCCCTTGAACTACCTACTCCTGTGATTTCCCTGTTGCCTTGTTTTCTCTCTCTTCTCCTATTTATTAAGAACATCCTCTACTCTTTTTTTTGGTCTTTCATTCCAGTGTTTTAAAAAGCCACTTCTTTTAGTTATCATTTTGTTTTGTTTTTTAGAGGCACATTTTATTTAAATTCAATTAATTAACATATAATGTATTATTAGTTTCAAAGGTAGAGGTCAGTGATTCATCAGTCTTATATAATAATAGCCAGTGCTCATTCCATCACATGCCCTCCTTAATGCCCATCACCCAGCCACCCCATCCCTCCACGCCCCTCCCCTCCAGCAACCCTCAGTTTGTTGCCTATGATTAAGAGTCTCCTATGGTTTGTCTCCCTGATTTTGTCTTGTTTTATTGTTTCCTCTCTTCTCCTATGATCCTGTTTTGCTTCTTAAATTCCGCATATCAGTGAGATCATATGATAACTGTCTTTCTCTGATTGACTTTTTCACTTAGCATAATACCCTCTAGAGTTCCCTCCACGTCACTGCAAACAGCAAGATTTCATTTTTTTCATGGCTGGGTAGTATTCCACTGTAATTTCTTTCTATTGCTATTTTTCTTAAAAATTCTGCTTCTATTTTTCTCTTTCACCTTAAGATTTTATTTGACAGAGAAAAACACACCGAAAGAGTGAACACAGCAGGGGGAGTGGGAGAGGGAGTAACAGGCTCTCCGCTGAGCAGGGAGCCTAATGTGGGACTCGATCCCAGGACCCTGGGTTCATGACCTGAGCCGAAGGTAGATGCTTAATGACTGAGCCACCCAGGCGCCCTAAAATTTTTTGTTTTAGGGGCGCCTGGGTGCTGCCGTCGGTTAAATGCCCTACTCTTTCGAATTTGGCTCAGGCCATGATCTCAGGGTCGTGAGATGGAGCCCCGCCTTGGGCTCCGTGCTCAGCAGGGAATCTGCTTGAAATCCTTTCCCTTTGCCCCCACCCTGCTTGCATGTTCTCACATGCACACGCTCTCTCTAAGTAAATAATCTTAAAAAAATTTCTTTTGTTTAAATTTTGTATATCTTCTAACTGTTATTCCCTTCTCTTCTTTGCCAATTTTCTTTAGTGTGGATAAAATATACACAAAATGTACCATCTTAACCATTTCTAGGTGTGCAGTTCCGTGGCATTAAGTACATTCACACTGTTGAGTAACTGTCCCCACCACGCACCTCCAGAACTTTTCCATCTTCCCAAACAGAAGCCCTGTTCCCATTAAGAATCTGCTCCCTTTAATTTTCATGATCAAATCTTGTATTCCCTCCTTTTGTAGTTTTGTAACTTACATCTTAAGGCTATATTTTCTATTGTCCCACATAAACCTTGTCATACTTTTAATTTTTCCCATTAACTTTTTTGCACCTGCTGGCCTTTTAGCCCTTGTGGTTTTCATCTTCATGCACGTGCCTTCAAGCACGTGTGGTTTTCATCTTCAAGCACGGTGGGCGCACACACCCCCACACTCCCACACACACCCACACCACGGCTCATCCCGTTTGACAAAAGGGCTGACGTAAGCAGCCCCTCCTGCAGAAGGCTGCTCATGCCAGGCCCGCGGGAGCCCACAGGGCCACCGGGCTGCCTCACGCACCTGGAGTAGACTGCTTCTCCCCGACAATAGCCAAGGATCGCGGCTGTCTCAGGGTAGATGGCCTCGTATTTCAGGAGATGCCTCTTCAGCGCGTACAGAGGGTGGTTCTTATATGTGCCAATGACAGTAGGCAAAGGCTGGCCCAGGTGCTTTGCCTGGAACTGCAAAGGCCAGAGAGACAACACTGAGCATGTTTGGAAGAGGAGGTGAGGTCTGAGGCAGGCAATTCCCTAGACCACCTTGTTCAGGAAATGGTGGAGCAGAGGTTTCGCAAGCACCAGTGACTGTAACATTGCGTCTGTAGTCTGGTACTAGGCAGGTTTTAAATAAAGCATGAAATCCTGTGGCTTGTGGCAACTGTGAAAAGTCATCTAACCTACTCATTCTCGGTGCTCAGACACCCTGGCCGGCCCTAGCAGATCAGTGCCCGCTCTAGGCCTCAGGGAAGACACACGGTTTTCTGCAGGAAGGCCTTACCTCCTCTGCAATGCAGGCCTACTTGACCCTGCTCAGGAAACTCAAACGGGCCCTTTGCACTGTGTAACTCTCTTTAGTCCCCTGTGAGGAACACTCGTGCTCTCAGCACCTCTTTCAGGATTCTGATTTCTCAGTGGACAATTCCACTGCGTTAAGTCACATGCTAGTCATCAAGGTCTCCTGAGCTCTCCCTGGCATCTCTTCAAACAGCCCCAGCAGATTAGTGCGGACTGGCCAAGCTCGGTCAGCTTCCACTGCAAATAGTCGTGACACCATCTGCACAATTCCCACTCACCCAGTCACATCTAAATAAAATGAACCAGGAACACCCCCTCTCAACACACCGGAACTGGGGAACTGCATTGCTACGGGGGACGCTAAATAAACCCCTGCTTCACCTGCCCCGAGAAAGTGGGAATCATTCGTGGGCAAATCTGGGCAAATGCCGAGCTCCACCCAACGCGACTGTCATGCACAAGGAGCTTGGGTCAGTGGGCAGTCCTAGCACACACTGTACTGTTCTAGCGGTCTGCTTCCCCATGCGCCCTCCTGAGTCCCTTTCTTCCCAGGAGACGAGTGTTCTAGATCCAAGAAGGGATGTCCATGTGTGCTTCTGTGAGCGTGCATGTGGGGCGGGGCGACAGATGGCCAGTGCATTCATGAGTTTTTTTTCTTTCACTCAGTGCGATTTATATGATCGCATACATTATTTTAAAGCTCCAAATTTACAACTAGGCAATAACTGAAAGTATGCTGTATAACGGCTTCGAAGCCTGAGAGATGTGGGTCCAAATACCAAGGCAGTTAATCTCTCAGATTCTCCATTTTTAACTGGTAAAATTAAGGCAATAGTCATCCCAGGTCTAAAGTATTGTGATTAATTCCAGGGGATTACACAAAAATACCCCCACACGGGGCCGGGCATATACAAGGAGCGCCAAGATGGGCCTTCGAGCCCATGGCAGCCAAGACCTTACCTCTGAGTCTTCCTTCTTCTCCCTCTCCACCAACGGGCTCTGGTATGGTCTCAGGGTTTCAGCCCACCACTTGGCATCAACCCGGCACTTGCGGGTCGCAGTCATCCAGTCTGGGTCGTACCTCTGGGTGACATCCCGGACCCAGCCATCACCGTCGATGCCCACCACGTAGGTCATGGGCTTGGTGGCATACTTGTAACAGGCCAGAGCCTGGCCCACCACACCATGCACACAGTCCACACACACCCACTTTTCCTCCTGCTCACAGAACACCTCTAGCCACTGGTCTACACCAGCTGCTTTCTCTCTTTCTGCCCCCTCACCATCACTGGAGATTTTCTTGCCTCGCTTACTCTTACTGCTTGAAGAGCTCATGGATGCTGCTGGAAAGCCGGGGTGCTTGGGGTGCTGAGGGTGCCTTCCACGTTGGGTCCTGGAGTCACTCTTGGACCCTGCCTTTGTCCTCTGCGGGGCTGGGGCCCTCCTCTGCCTGCGAAGGCCAGGCTCAGAATCCTCATCAGATGAATGAGGGGCTTCCCCACTGGAGAGCTCGAAGTCAGAGCCGCTGCTGCCCTTGTCACTCTCACTCTCTTCTTTGTAAGACACCCTGGAGGCCACCTGCCGCTCCCGGCCAGGCCGACGTCTCTGGGTGTCCTCCTGCCGCCCTCCCACCTTGTGCTCTTCCCCACTGGAGGAGGGCTCTCTCCGTTTCTTCTCGACCGCGGCTGCCTTGCTCCTCTTCCCTTTGGTACTTGGACCTCCAGAGACCTTAGAAGACGTGGCCTCCTGTCTGGCTCCTTGGCTGGTCTTGGGTTTGGTTTGGCTTTCTGGAACTGGGCTGCAAGTTTCCAAGGAGCCTCCAGGATCCTCTGCAGATGTCTCCTTGGCAGCTTTCTTTCCCTTAAATGGAACAGGAAATTTTGTTTTTTCTTTTTGTGCTCATGATATGATAGAGATCCTATAATCTGCCAGGGCTAAGTCACTGGCTACGGAACCAGCATACACAGGATGTCCCCAGCTCAGACAGAGTTGAGCTGGCAATCCTTTAGGAATGTAAGAATGTATTCACTAAAATCTGTGGCATCTTAGCTAAGCCACAGTGTAACTCTTTCCACTCTAGTGCCTGGCTCGGGGAGGGGAGCGGGGGCAGCAAGGGAAACAGACCAACCTGGGTTCCAACTCCAGTTCTGCTTCTCATTCATTATGTGGTTTCAGTCAACAATATATACGTTTATTTACATTTTCTCAAATATTTATTACTTATGTGTAAACCTCTGAGTCTCAGTTTCCTCGGCAATAATACCCACCTCGCACATAACGTATCTTGCGAGCAAATACTGATGGACTTAATAAAGATGCAGCATTAAGAATACGGAATTAAATCCTCCTCTGGACCACTAAGTTTCAAACGGTGCTGACAGCACAGCGAGTCTAGTGCTGAGCCTCCTCCTTAGATGACAGCAGAATGCAGAGTCCCTCACCCCTTACCACTCTGCACAGCCAAGGAGCAGGAGGATGGGGCCAATCCGCTGCATCACAAGGCAGAAACTAACCCACCAGGGAACCAGGCCCTCCCTCGGGCCCCTCTGTGCACGCCAGGCTCAGGCTGCTGGAGGCCCACTGGTGTCCAGTCTTCCCAACACAGGGGTGAGCAAGGCAGGCTCCAAGGGGCCCATGCTCCATGAATGCCAACCCGTAAAAATAGTCCGATGACCAATTTTTTTGTCGGAAGTCTGGTAATTTCTCCCTCCCCGCTGAGCCAACTGCCTTTTAGGAGAACCCCACCTTTGCTGCAGGTAACTTCAGAGGAAGCGGCTGTAGAGACAGCACCAGTCGGGTCTGGAGCTGCAGGGCCCGGAGGATCAGTAAAAATATCTGCGGGGGAAAAAGAATGATGCATTTATCCTAAGAAAAATATCGAGGATTTAACTAATTCCATGGTGTCTGTTGTGGTAGTTTATTTTTTATAACAGGGAAAAGTTAGAAACAACTGAACAACAGGAGCTGGGAACCCTACACAGTATTAAAAATGATGCTGAAGAGATTTATCTTTGTAGAAAAATGCAAAGATGTTCACTACATATTAGAGGAAAAGAGAAGTTTGGTTTTTAATGTGTAATGTTAATTTTTGTAAAAAAAAAAAGCATATAAACATATATATGTATTTAGAAAAGGACCCATTTTTGGGTTATGGGTGTTTACAGGTGATTTTTTTTTCAGCTTACCTAGCTCCTGCATTCAACATGTGTTGTGCTTATGAATAAAATAAAACACATGAAGTAACACTTTGCGAAGAAAAAGTAGAAAACATCATTATCACCAGATCTCCAAAGTCTATTCCGTTTACCATTTTCCCCACAACGAATCTTTCCACTGGAGGCTGCAGTTCTACAACTTCTATCTACCTGTAAGGAGGGGAGCCTCCTCAGGGGAATGAACCTCCAAAACGGCGACAGTGATAAAGCACCTGAGCAAGATCTTCCCACGCAGACCTCAGCGTCTCATGAGTTACTATAAGGCCCGACTGAGAAAGCCAGAAACAGGAGGGCATGTTTTCTGTGAGACGCTATGTTGTATCAGAAAAAATAATGACTTTTGCCTATTTCTTCTGGAGTTAAAAGCGGCTTGGTGGGGAGGATGAGAAAACATCAAAGAAACCCAAATTGAGGGACACTCTACAAAATTCCTAAGCAGTAGTCTGAAAAGTGTCAAGATAGGAAGGATGAGGGAAAACCCACAAACTGTCAGATGGAGGAGACGAAGGAGTCCTGATGGCCAAAGGCAATTCAAAGTAACCAGACGCCGACGGCCAACTGTTTTTTGATGAGGGTGCCAAGGCCATGGAACCCCCATTTAAAGACTTGTCTCTTCAACCAGTAGTGAAGATAATACAACAAACAGTTGAAAGAATAGTCTCCTCAACCAAGGACACCAGGACAACTGGATATCCACATGCAAAAAGGATGGAGTCGAACAGCAACCTCATATCATATATAAACATTAACTCAAAATGTACGAAAGACTCAAAATGGATGTAAGAGCTGAAACGGTAAAACTCTTAGAAGAAAACGTAAGGGGGAAAAGTTTCATGACCTTAGATTTGGCACTGGATTCTTAAATATGACACCAAAAGTATAAGGAATAAAAGAAAAACAGAAAAAGCAGACTTCATCAGAATTAAAATTTTTGTGCCTCGACACACTTTCTCCAGAAAAGACAACCTATGGGATAGGAGAAAATATCTGCATATATCTGAGAGCGGGTTAGTATCTAGAATATAGAAGGAACCCTCACCACTGGACAATAAAAAGACGAAGAACACAACTAAAAAACGGGCATAGGATTTGAAGAAGCGTTTCTCCAGAGAAGATACACGAATGGCCAACATGCACATGAAGGCGATAACCATCATGAGTCCCCAGGGAAATGTAAATCCAACCCACAATGAGCTAGCACTTCACACTTATTAGGATGGTTAGAATAAAAAAGGAAAATACAAGTGTTGGAGAAGATCTGGAGAAACTGGAGCCCTTGTACATTGCTGGTGGGAATGTAAAATGGGGCATCCGCGGAAAAGTTTGACAATTCTTCAAAAAGTTAAACATAAAATGACCCAGCAACTCCACTCCTGGGTATATACCTAAAAGAATTGAAAACAAGTACTCAAGTACGTACACATGTTGATAGTAGTACTCTTTACAATAGCCAAGATGTGGAAACAACCTAAATGTCCACCAACTAACAAATACACAAAATGTGGTCTAGCCATACAATGGGATAATATTCAGCCATAAAAAGAAACAAAGTGCTGACACACGCTACAACATGGATGAACCTTGAAAACGTGATGCTAAGTGAAAGAAGCCAGACACAAAAGGTCACGTGATACTTCTTCCATGAAAAACATCCAGAATACGTAAATGCGTAGGGACAGAATGCAGACTGCGGCTGCCAGGTGCCAGACGGAGTAGAATGGGGAGTAACTACTTAATGGGCACATGGTAGCCTTTTGGGGGGGGGGTAAAACATTTTGGAAATATACACAGGAACAGAGCTTGGGAGGATAAGTCTCAAATATTAATGCTTTTCCCTGGGTGGTGGTATTAGGGCAATATCACTGGCCACATCAGGTATCTTAGACTTTTTCAAGCCGAATCAGAAGAGAGGTAAAGATGCCAGTCATTTGGGCTTTTAAGATCCAAGAAGTCTGGTCTCTTTCCCTAAACAAACAGAGAAGCTGGGGCTCAGATATAAGTATATGTAATGAATAGGAATCTTTCGGGGATAAAGCCATATTTCCACCTCTGTTTTCGGTAGACAGAACTCTCCTCACTGCACCGTTGCCGGCCAATGTCACTTCTCCAATCGGAAGGTAGGGAAAAGCTTTCTGACAGATTTCAGCAGACAAAATTTGAAAAAACATTTCCTTGGGACTTCTGAACATAATTTTTGAATAGTTAATGGAAACAATTGTAGGGCACCTGACCAAAAAGTAAGTGCTTAATGCCCCAGGACACCAAGCAACAGCGAATGCAGGCTTTCCATCCACACACTGGTCCTGAACCTGACTCCAGTGCTTACCAGCGGAATGACCCTGAGAAAGTTCTTCGGCCTCTCTGAGCTTCAGAACCTATTTTTTATTTCACAAGGACTGAATAAGGAAGAACATGGAAAACACCGGAATGGTATCTGGCACGTGACTGCCATGGTCATTAGCTCACGGTGCTAGAAAATAGTGGCGCCAGGAGGAATCACTTACATGGACCAACTCTTCATCATCCCGCGCAGAGTAAATAGCAAACCTCCTTTCCAATGTCGTCTGTAGACCATCTTGCTCGTTGGTTGAGAGGTCTGCATTAACTGTAAATGTACCAACGAACCTGGAGAAACCAGGCGTTCCCTGTGTCACAGGTCAGGGCAAAGAGGAACGCTTGCTATCCTTTTATAGCCAAGCAAATCAGAAGGGAGAGTCTCAGAAGGGAATCATGAGCCTTGCCTGCCTCTGTTCTCATCTTCCCAGTCTGTGTGGCTGACCCCGGCTCACCACTGAAGACCCCAGCAGACTTCATGTCCCTGGGAGGTTCCCAGCCCCTCAGCTGCTCTGTGCAGCTACAGGCCCCAGCAGATCTCTTCCCAAGCGCTCCTCACACTACCCTGACTACCTGGGGTGCATCTGTCTCCCCAGCCAGCCTGGGAGCTCTTCCAGGGCAGAAAGCACGCCTGACGTGTCTCTACCTTCAAGGCTGTGCTCAAGGCCCGGCATGTAAGAATCCCTCAGGGAAGGTCTGTGGAACTGACCTGCCCCCAACCTCTGAGAGACACAAGTCCCATACTAGGGCTTTGCAGGACGGGCCGGAGGGCCATACCATTTCACCAGGTTTGACAGGTAACAGGCATCCACGGCTTGAGGTGGCACTCTGGTAAAGTGAACTGGGATGATGGACAGGCCGATAGCAAGCAGATCCGGCTGGCTGCAGATGTTACTTCGATAGAAACCATTTGCCAGCAGGCACAATAGGTGAACCTGGAAAGAAGGGGAAGATGGCAGGCCGAGAACTAGAAGGGTTTTTGCTGCCATACTGAGAGACGTTTTGTGGGCGGGAATCATCTGTTATTTCTACACGCAAGGAAGTAAAAATCCCAACATTAGCCATTTCCCAAGACCATGTTTTTCACCCTGTCTTTCCCCTAGATACTTATTCCCTCAAAGAAATAACCAAATCTCAAAATTGCAGAATACAAACTTCTTTTTTTTAAGAGGTCTTGTCTTTTAGACATATGCTGCAGGATTTGTTCCAAAAAGATCAGGAGGAAAAGTGAGTCGAGGGAGAGAAGGGAGAGACTGCGTAAGTGCCAGTAGCTGTCCAAGCTGGGGGACGGCGTGGGTTCACCAGATGGCTCTCTGCGCCCTTCCCTGGGCGCCAGGACCCAGTCTCTCCCGCTGCAGACCTCAAGGCGAGCTGGCCCCCCTCCCCGAGCTGCACAGATGGTCACATGCCTCCTCACCACCTCCTCCACAGCCTTACAGCCTTTTCCCTTTCTCCCCACCGATGACCTCCCCATTTCAGTCAACGGCTCCGCTCTTCTCCACTCACTTGAGCTTCCCATCTTGGAGTCATATGAACTCTTTCCTTCATTGCATCTCTTCCCAAAGCTACAAGCAGCACCGCTGTCTCACATGCTCAAGGCCTCAGGGAGGCTGGTGTCTCATCTCCTCACCGTCCTTGCTCTACGCTCGTCTCCCCACTTCTGCGGCTGCCGCAGACACACCGTCTCTTCCAGCCCTGCCAGCTCTACCCGCTCTGGCTGCCCATGGCCCATCAGGGGGACATCCAGTGCCCTTCCCTCATGGGCCGCCAACACACACACCGTCCAAGACGCAGACACACGGGCTGTCCCGCCGTGCCCTCTGCACTTGGCGTGGGCAGCCTCCCCAGCTCCGCCCTCTCCCCACAGCTCCCCGCTGGCCTTTCTCTTTATAAAGCCGCCTTCCTCAGCCACACCCGGTCCCCTTCTGCGTTCTGAGTCTTGAATGTCTTGTTTTGAAGTCTGTCTTGTTCCATCTCTGAGATCTGATGCTCCTTAATGGCAGGAAAGAAGCTTTATACAAGTCTCTAACCCCACAATGCCAAGTACCTTGCTAGGTCTATGATGCGGCTCAATAACTACCCCACTGAAGTCAAAGACACCGTCTCTTCAGCGGTGGTGGGAACTGAGGTTATGAAACAGGTGGAGGAAGGGATGGCAGGAGAGTGCCTGTGGGTCCGGCCCTGCTTCGTGCCAGCTCTGTGCTCTGGACCTTGTGTGTCATGTTTGCTCCATCCCCACAACCCCCTCCGAGGCGGGCACTATCACCCCCCACCTCAAAGATGAGGAAACCAAGGCTCAGGGAGACAAAGAAACTCGCCAAGGCCACACAGTGAGTAGAGGAGCCAAACAAAGCCAGGCTTGACTGAGAACCGAAGTTGCGTGCACCACACCGCCCTGTCTCGACAGAGAGGACACTGTCCCTTCGCGCCCTGCCCTTGCCCTTACCTTGTGCGTGTCCTCGCGGACTTCTTTACCGAAACGTTTCATCATCCTCCGAAGATAGGTCTCAAACTCCACTTTTATCCTTTCACTGTCATGCACATGGAAAAATCCAAGAATGAAGTGGGAAACTGAGCCCTGAGCCCAGCCCCCAATCACGTGTCATGGCTCCTGAATCACTCTCCTGGTTCTCCTGCCCGAGGCTGTGCTACTCGGGCACATCAGCAAGCTGGCTGTTTTCCACTGGCTTTTCTGCTCCTTTTCACCTGCACACCTTGGCTTGGGACATTCTCCACCTGTCACGCCTCACAGCCGTGCTTTGAAACACACACCCTCCAAGGAAGCTTCCCTGCCTGTGTGACCTCCCGACTACGGATTCCGTCCTTCGCACCAGTACTTCTGTGCTAAACTGGGGCACACTCATTTCTTCAGTGCTGTTCTGCTGTGCAATCTCTTTCATGCCTGTGTCCCATGCATCTGTCTTCCTCCTTCGTGCCTAATGATGTGCCCATCAATGTGCAGAGTGCACAGAGAATGGCACTCATTCGCCAATTAACTGCTGGGCGTTGTGCTCACGTTCCCAAGCCACCAGCGGCTGCAGTGGTCCTGGGGATCCTGGGATGGAGTGGGGGCTCCCTACCATAGGGGGGCACTGGCTCAAATCGCGCAGTGTAATGTGGTGCGAAAGCATGAGTCTCAAGTTGGCCAGAAAGGGATTTGGATCTTGGCTCATCTGCTCCCTGGCTGAGTGACTCCTGAAATGTCACTTAACTTCTCTGAGCCTCCACGATCTCATGCACACACTATCTTCAAGTGTAAGTAAGACAATGGACAATCTACAGAGTCCGCGACACACACCCGATGTTCAACACGTAAGAATTTCCTCTTCCCGCGTCCTGCCCCAGCCAGAGAACAAACGAGGATTCTCGAACCTGGGACTCTCTCACCTGAGGCTCCTAACCACATTGGTACTCAGCCCTGGTCTCCTGCGTGTTTCTCAAAAACTTGCGTTAAGTAGCAGCTCTTGCTCATTATGCGTGACAGGAATCTAGAGACAAGGTAAGACAATCTTACCTTCTCTCCCTCGCCTTCGCCTGCTGGGGCGTTTCAATCTCTATCTCCACTGGTTTCACAGGCAGGACAGATTTAGAAAAGGCCGCATTTTCTCCCACGTCACCTGGCACAGGTTCACCAAGTTCTATCAACAATAATTTTTTTTTTAATCAGTAATAATAGGGGCACCTGGTGGCTCAGTTGGTCAAGTGGCCAACTCTTGGTTTCAGCTCAGGTCATGATCTCAGGGTCATGGGATCGAGCCCCACAGCAGGCTCCACGCTGAGTGTAGAGTCTGCTTGAGATTCTTCTCCCTCTGCCTCTCCTCACTGCGCTCTCTCTCTCTCAAAATAAATAAAGTCTTTTTAAAAAACTAGTAATAATAATAATTATTATGATAGCTATCATACTGAACAAAATGGAGGTTCTGTGGGGAGTGAAGAACAGATGCAAGGTAGGAGACCCCTACTCCTACAATGCTTTGAGTATCTCAAAAATGCCACAGACTGGGCGCCTGGGTGGCTCAGTCGTTAAGCATCTGCCTTCAGCTCAGGTCATGATCCCAGGGTCCTGGGATCGAGTCCTACATTGGGCTCCCTACTCAGCAGGAAGCCTGCTTCTCCCTCTCCCACTCCCCCTGCTTGTGTTCCCTCTCTCGCTGTCTCTCTCTCTCTGTTGAAAAATAAATAAAATCTTAAAAAAAAAAATGCCACAGACTATGCTGTTTTACATTTATTTCTCATTTAACTTGAACAACCCAGAGAAACAGCCCTTAGAGGAGGAAACTAAGGCACAGAGATACTGAGTTGAATTAGAACCACACCTCTGGTATCAAGGAATTAATGCTCATGTGTGTGTTTTAGTAGAGACAGTTTTCTCCAAGAGAAAAAAAACCCAAAGAACAATTTCCTATTCTGTATTACTACAATAATGCATATCACAATTTGCTTCATATACAGGCATGATTTAGTGGTCTTCCAGCCCCAACTGCAAACTTGTAATGATAAGGAATGCATCTTTTTTATCTCTTTATCCTCTATTATCACTTGTAAACACTAGCTGAAATAAACTGAATTCACTAAACTGGATCTAACTGTGAACTTCACTAGCAAAGGCCCCTTTAAAGAGGCTCTGGGCCCAGAAGCAGTGACACCCCATTGGCAATGAACACACCTAATGCCAAGATATGGTTTCTACATACCAGTCACTAATGAATGAGCCAGGCCTTCCTGGAGAAACAAAAGTTGATTATAGGTCTGGAGCAAGAAGAATATAGGATGGGCCTGGAACATCTTCTTGTGCCAGAAAACAAAAATGTTCTCAAAAACATTTTTGAGAATGAGGCCATGTCAAAAGGACACAGTAAGGTAGCTGGCTTAAAGGGGCTCTCACTAGCCAAATCTGGGACAATCTGAAGATCCAAAAGTATAATGATGATAACTGATAACATATGAATTTTTAAAATATCTCTAAGTCCATAGTGATACTCAAAATAAATACAATTCTTAAAAGAGAGAGCTCTTCTTTACAAAGTCATCTGATAAATGCGTATGAGATGACAAGATGACAGAATCAGAAAGTTCCATTTTGCGATGCTCATTAAAATAATCTTTGATTCAGGGGCGCCTGGATGGCTCAGTCATTAAGCGTCTGCCTTCAGCTCAGGTCATGATCCCAGGGTCCTGGGATCGAGCCCCGCATCGGGCTCCCTGCTCAGTGGGAAGCCTGCTTCTCCCTCTCCCACTCCCTCTGCTTGTGTTCCCTCTTTCACTGTGTCTCTGTCAAATAAATAAATAAAAATCTTAAAAAAAAAAATCTTTGATTCAGTAAAGATAAATGCATACTAAAAACCATGAAGTAAAAAGTTACTGGAGAATAAGATATTCACACAGAATCAGAGTACCACCCGAGATGGTTAATTACAGAGGAAAAATGTACCTTTATATTGTCACGATCTGGCAAAACCACCTTATATGATCACACTTAGCATCACTAGTAGGACAAACTGACATTAGGAGCCTCTTAATGGATGCAGTATGCAGTACAAAGGTATGAAGTATTTTTGCAAAAAAAAAAAGTTTAACCTAAATTCAATCAAGTCTTAACTTAGTTTATAAGACCCCGGGGGATACTGAAACACGTTTACCACCACCCTGAGGTGCCTATTTATCAGACAAAACTAGAATAAGAGACATCCCACAAAAGAAGAGGCCAGGACTCCTCAAAAACAGCGGTGCTACAAAAAGCAAAAAAAGGTGCTGGGTGGGGTGCACTGTTCTAGGCTAAGGGAGACTAAAGAGGTATAACTCACACCTTGATTAGATCCTGGATTAGAAACAAGCAAACAACAGCTAAGAAGGATATTTTTGTAACAATTAGGGGCTTTTCATTTTCTTAAGTGTGAAAATATTTTATCATGCAGGAGAACGTCTTAGTCTCAGGAAACGTATGAAGTATTTACAAGTCAAGTGCCGGGATGTCTGCGACTCACTTTCAAATGGTTCCACGATGCATATTTACAGAGAGAAAGATACATTCACTATGGCAAATGTTAGTTACTTGAATCTAAGTAAAGAGTCTATGTACTACATTTTCAGTGTACTACATTTTCAATCTTTTTGTAGGTTTTCAAAAATTATTTTCGGGCGCCTGGGTGGCTCAGTTGGTTAAGTGACTGCCTTCGGCTCAGGTCACGATCCTGGAGTCCCAGGATCGAGTCCCCCATTGGGCTCCCCGCTCAGCGGGGAGTCTGCTTCTCCCTCTGACCCTCTTCCCTCTCGTGCTCTCTGTCTCTCATTCCCTCTCTCTCAAATAAATAAATAAAATCTTTAAAAAAAATTATTTTCAAAATCAAAAGCTGGGATAAAGTTAGGCTAGACAGAAGGAGTCAGGGATGATAACATTAGCTGCCATTTATCGTGAGCATATGATGCTTTAGGCCCATTACATTTGCAAACCTTTCTTTCTTCACTACAATCCTGCAGCCTAGCCTGTGAACAGCTCATGGTGAGCATTCAATGCTTACTGTTGTCGATGAAAAAACTCCACTCTGACAGGTGGATTTACTTGTTCACACAGCTATACAAGCGGCAAGGCTGGGCTCTGAACCCAGATCTCACTACTCTCAAAGCCCACGTGCTTTCTATAAGATGCTGCTGCCTCTCTACTTCACAATCTACTCCACGGACAGCCACAAGAGGAAGAGAATATACAGCCTTCTTTGGTAACCTGGTCATGAATTTTTCCTTGCACCCAAAGCAAGTCCCTACTGTAACCTTATTTGGTCCTACTTAGTTTTAAAAGGAAACAACGGAATTGCAACTAAATGACATGATCCCGAGCAGCCTCCAATGAGAAACAGGATCACAGAGCAATGATGTTTTACCTTCGACCTCTTCCCAATCATCCTCGCTTTCCTCCTCCTCGTCTCCTTCACAGCGGCCTTTGGCCACGGCAGCCTCTCTCTGTGAGGGCTGTGCCTTCTTGCGGGCACGGGCGGAGTCCCTGTGTAAAGATCACAGCGGGGAAGGTGAAGAAGGCTCGCACATCCTCGTGCTACAGTTAAGCCAAATGGAATCCTAAGGACTCTTTCTTCCATTTATTGTGAACCTGTTGATTATGGGTGAGCTCTGAGCCTCATTCCCTCCACCACTGTGGGTCTCAAGGGCTCCTCAAGACGTGCTCTGATCATCAGTCTAACACCAGATGTGCTGTCAAACAGAAAGAATGCAATGGACTTACAGCCTAGAGCTGCGTGAGGGAAAACACAGCCATGCCTGGAAGTGGTACAGGAAAAGTTAGAAGAAACCACAATAACAATGTAAGTTCCAGAAGTAAAAGCTGTGACGTGTATTATATATGCACAGGTGGACACCACACTGCAGAAGCGGGAATTCACGTTTGCCGATCATAACATGAGCCAACTCGGATGACTGTTTCTCCCCACCTCTACGATGTAAGGAGATGGAAGCTGGTAGAATTCCAACCTCAAGGTATGTGGGGATGTGTCCATACACAGGTATGTCACAAATAACAACAAAAGCATGGATAGCTACCTGGTTAAGTAGGTAACTACACAGATAAGCAGCTAGCTGAATATTGGCTGAAGATGCAATGGTTGCTAATATGTAATCCATTTTCGTAATTTCATACATAAAACGTGTTTAGAGCACAGTTACTTTTAGCTATTGTAAGGTCTGACGTGTGGTATCAAGTGAGAACATCATCTAAGATCTGAGCTCAGACATTTAAAATAAGCGAGCCTCAGTCTTCAGCTCTAAAAATACACGCATTCTCTTTGCAACCACTTTCAACACCACAGCAACAAAAATTTCTCCTTAGAATAAACGTAGCAGGAATTTCCATGCGCTACGGATTTGACGGCAGTCAACTCTCAGCGGAGAGGGAAAGGGGGGCCCAGAGCTTTAACCGGGAGCATCCTGGTCTATGTGTACGTGGATTTCTCTGGAGAAAGAATTCAACTAGCGGGGACAGGAAACCGGGAAGCAGGAAGCTCAGAGGCGTGCATTCACAGGACAAGTCTAAGGGAAAAGAAAAGATGACCTTGAGTGCAAAATTCCCATGCTTTCTCATGGCTCCTGTCTACTGCTGGCCCTTCCCCGGGCTGCCGTCCTCAGCCAGGACTGTAGGCTGCTGGGAAAGCCAGCACTAAGACGGAAGACTGTTTTCTGAAGGACCTACTACCTCTCTGTTCTTCCTCCCCTCCCCACAACTTTCCCAGGAAGTGGACTGTCAAGTGTTCACTAGGCTGCAGTCATTGTTCACCAACGTATTACTATGCATGTTCATTCAACTGCAAAAATCCTGGCTCGGTTTCTGCCAAACAAAAGGCCCCGCCCTAAATGCCACAGGGCCTACAAGAACGAACCAGGCGTCGTTCCAGGCCTCGGAGAGCTTGCTGGGTAGTAGGCAGGGGTACGTGGCCTGGGCACAAATAAGTCCAAGAAATCAGAGGAGGAAAAAGGGGGAAGAAATCAATGAAGACTGTCGAGTGGATGGATTCTGATCCACATGTTCAAGGTGGAAGAAAGCATTCCAGGTAGAAGGAAGAACGAGCACGATTCAGAAGTAGCAAAGTCTGACTGAGCACGTGGCGAGTGAGTGACAAGAAGTCCAGCTGGGTGGGAGCAGAGCGAACTTGAGGAGAGCAGTACGAGAGCAAGCTGGAAGGGCAGGCCAATATCTTAGGTATGTAGTTATCATTGCGCAGTAGAACGAGCACTGGACCAGGAGTCCAAAGGCTTAAGTCTCATCTGGTTTTTGCCACCGTCTAGCTATGTAACCAGATAAACCCCTTTCTGTTAGCTCTCCTAGTCATCTGAGAGGTCTGGGAGACAAACTATATACAGCTGGCCCTTGAATAATGCAGGGCTGGGGCACCGACCGCTCACAGTCAAAACTCCGCACAGAACTTTCGACTCCCTGAAACGGCTAACTACTACCAGGCTACTGTTAACTGGAAGCCTTTACCAATAACTTGCAGTTGATTAACACATATTTTGTATGTTACGTGTATTATATACCGCATCCTTCCAATAAAGTAAGCTAGAGAAAAGGATGTTATTTTTTAAATAATCACAAGAAAAACTACATTTACAGTGCTTACTGTACTAATCAAAAAAACTCCATGTAGAAGTGGACCCATGCAGTTCAAACCTGGTTGGTCAAGGGCCTACTGTAATTGCTAAGAAGAATCTTACTAGTGGTCTGAGCTCCAGCTGGAGGAGTTTAAAGATCCCACCTTTTGCACAGATCCTAGAGACAGGCAAAAAGAGACTCACAGTTCCCGGAGGACAGAATCAAGACGTGGCTAGAAGCTTTTCAGCCATCTCACCTGAACTCCTCCCCATCGCTGAGGGCCTCATCCTTCACGACCTTGGGGTTTTCAGATTTGACAGTCACCTGGGCCACTTTCTTTTTGGCTGGACCCCCAGGATCACTGCAGCCTCTCTTCCTCTTGCCTTGTGAGACTTTGGAGAGAAGGCTCCTCTTTAGAGGTTTCTTGTCTTCCAAGACATCTAGATAACCACACAGAACACAAGGTAAGGGACACAGGAAAGGCGGAGGGGGTGTGCTTTCACAGGCAGGTGATGGAAAGCCCCCTTCTGTCACCTCCCTCCAGACCCCATCTTCATCGCCGGGGCAGTGTCCCCGGTTTGTTCCACAAGCAGCCTCCAGCCTCCTCCTGCCTCCAGCCCAGTTGACACCCTGCACTCCCAGTAAAAACTGGCTTCCTTTATCAGGGCTTTATTCCACTCCCTTGTGGGGTAACACGAATTGCCACATGACTCCAATAAAATCTGGCTTCCAAATTTCAAATTTCAGCTAATAGCCAGGAAGGAAAAATACATCAATCTGCTAAGTAATACCTTGTTTATTTATTACCTGCCAAGACTAGTTATTTTAGGAGTAACCCACTATTAAGTGAAACATTTTTAATTCATAAACATGTCCAAGTTTTATCACAACTCTACTATTACTAATCCACGTTTCTGCTATTTTTCAAAACCAAACCCCTGCTCAAAACATACTTCACGAAACCTTTCCAATCTAAGCCAAAAGTATATTCATATCCCAACCATCTCAGCAAGCTTAGGGTTGGAAAAAGACAGTAGTAATTTAAAAAATACCTTTATTTCCTTAAAATAATTGTTGGTTTTTGTTAAAGGGAAAATTTAAAAATGCACAGGCTGCGGGCTTTAGTTAAATTAGGATATCTAAAGGTATGGTCTGTTTCTTAGCATATTAATAAATCAATTTTCAATAAAGAATAAATAACATGGCAGGGGACAATATCTTCTATTTTGCAAATATATTCATAAAAATAATTCTGAATCTAAAATAAAGCATCTTCCTTCGCCTTTGCATGACTCTGCTTCAGTTAATTTTGGAAAACAAAAATACTTTAGCCTCTTTTGAGGTTCCAAAAGAAGCAGCAATATTAACCTGCCATCATATTGATTCCTTTCATTTATGGTTTGTCCTACTGACTCTACAGATAGATACTTATATTCCCCAAGATATATTCTTGCATGGGGGAAAAGCTCTCCCTTTTGATCTAAATAAAATCATAATTTTAATAAATTTCTCATAGTAGAGGGGCATTTGTTCTAACACTAGATAAAATCACTGATTCAGTTCAGTTTCTTTAGAATGTTTTATAAAAGGAATTTATGCATTCCAATGTTTTAAACATTTTAACAGAAACACAATTTCAAAATTCTTTAGAATCTGGAGATACTTCTTATTCCAAGGCCAGAAGCTGCTTAAAGGTTTATGACTTGACAGTTTAAGTAGCATGTCCTTGAAATCAGGATTTCTGGATCTTTTCACGCTTTCTAGCCCTCTATGAACAGATGTGAAACAAAGATGTGAAACACTTCATTTTTACTAAATTAGGTGGGAGGATACTTCAAAGGCACCGTTTCTTCCTCAGCAAACTTATTTGGTTGGTTAAAAAGCAAAACTGTGTAAATTTTTTTGCTTTGAAGAGTTAGAGGAGTTAAAAGGGGGGCAAGGGTGGAGCAAGAACAGAAACAAAAAACTGTGAATCAAAAAAATTTCCATAGTATTATTTTCATACAGTCATCCTCCTCAGCTGTGGTTTCAGTTACCGGGGATCAATCAGTGTGGAAGCAGATGATCCTCCTTCTGACAATCTCCTGAAGGTCAATAGTAACCTAAGGCTACGTCACAATGCCTCAGTCATTCACCCCATCACTAGGCATTTTATCATCTCACTCCAACGTAAGAATTTGAAGGCTGAGTACAGCACAATAAGATATTTTGAGCAAAAGAGAACACATTCACGTAACTTCTACTACAGTACACTGTTTTAACTGTCCTATTTTCTTATTAGTTATTGTTAATCTCTTACTGTGCCAATTTTGTCAATAAAACTTTATCACAGGCATGTACATATAGAAAAAAACATAGCATATATAGGGTTCAGTACTATCCGTGTTTCAGGCAACCGCTGGAGGGGGGGGTCTTGGAACATACATCCCTGCAGATAAGGAGAGGGACTACCATAATACCCCCAGATTTTTAAAATATGAATGCCTAACCATGACATATCATTATGTACATACATTGGAATATAAATCAGTCATCTTTTAAGACAAAGGAAAATGACCTATGATAAAATGTTAAGCATGCAAAATTGTTTTTACTATATGGTTTCCACTACTTAGAAAAAGACTAGAAGGAAATATACCATTATTTCTGGATAGTTGTAATACTTACTTTTTTTAAAATTCTTTACATTTTTTTTGGGTCCCAGAGAATCCAGAGGCTATTTCCTAGGACTCTCCAAGATCTACAGCTACCTACCCAGTCTCCTTGAGCTCAATGTGGTAATTTCAGAAAGGCAGGAATTATCACTTTGTTCTGCTTGGCCTTCTACTGAGATTTTAAAATACCTGCTTAAAACTGCCAGTGGCATCTCATAGCACTTAGAATACAAACTCTTTAACTGGGTCTCCAAACTAAGGGTCCTGCCCACCTTTCCCACCTCAATTCCTATTTGCCCCTCATCCTATTTGCCCCTCACTAAGTCCAGCCAGCCCGCCAAGCTCATTTCATTTCCTCCTAAGTCTTTAAGCTTATTGATTCCTCTGCCTACAACTCTTCCTGAGAGCTTCCTTTGAATAGCTCCTTTGGGACATTTAGTAATTGGTTCAAAATATCACCTCCTCAAAAAGGCCTCCCTTGACTCTTAGCTGCTTCTTCCCCACCACCAAGTCAGTTTTACTACCTCTTTTACTCTTTTTGTAACTCTCATCACCGTGTGAATTTATTTAACTTTTTATTGTCTGCCCTACCAACCCCTCCCCAGAGATTGTAAGCATCATGAGAGCAGGGACCTTGCCAGTCCTGTTCACTACTAGAATTTCAGTGCCTAGAATAGTCCTTAGATATAGCAGGTGCTCAGTAAGTATTTGTTGAAGGAATTAATGATTCACATCAATGAAAGCATTAACACAGAGAAGAAACATGAAGAAATTAGAGATGCCCTAATAGAAACGAGGAAATAATGCGGAAGACTGTTTTCTTTGACCCTAAATGTTGAATGCAGCCAAGTATCACTTTCTTTGGCATGCACTGAGGTGCTGTTAGAAACTACACTGAAGGTCATCGAGTCAGTGTCAACTGTAGCCCAAACCACAACCAGATTTTTCCTCCACCCAACCACAGCAGAGATTGTAACTCTTCCTGGAAGCTGCCTTGGGAACTTACTGGTAGCTCCTCTGGCTGAGTTTCAGTGAAGCTTGGGTGCATCCTTGCCTACACCTAAGCTGAACTGATAGAAGCTAGCCCATCTGATTACCTGACATGGACCATGGCAGGGGCATCTATCTCACTGAAAACTCACAACCGCCCTGAAAGACAGTATTATGTTTCAGAGATGAGGTTCAGAGAGGCTAAACTGTCCAAAATAATTTGCACAAGTGCATATAAACAACTACTAAGTGTTGGAGCTGCACCAACCTGGAGTCCAGATAAAGTGTTCAGCTGGAAGGAATGGTACCCAGGCAGGTGGAATTTCCATCAGATCACAACTTTTAATTTTTGAATTGCCACATATTCAGAATACATTCCCTCTGACTGGAATAAAAACCCTTTTCACAGCCATTTGCTGAAATGTTACCCATTCTCAAAGTCGCAGATCTAACATAACTCCTTCAGAGAGCATTTCCCAATCTCTCCAGTCAAACTTGATTATTCCTTCAGAAGCCACAAAGCCTGCTACCTTCTTCCAAGATATCACACTCTTTGAGTATTTTTTGTAAACGTCAACACTACAGCACTCTAAGCTTCTCCAAGTAATCTCTATCTCCCATGTCAACTAGCTTGTGCACAGCACATATCAGGTACTCCAAAAATGTTATCTGAATGAGTAAATGAATAAAATGGAACTCGTAGCATTAACTGTGAGGTAAATCACTTTCTAAGTTTAGAAATGACTTCCACTTGCCTACTTACTAATGGATGATGAACTTATATAAAGAATCACAGGATTATTGAATCTAGTGTCATAGGAGCCCTTGCTGGTTACCCATCTATCCAGATTATTTTAGGAACCTCAGAAAATCCCTTCTACAGCATGCATTATGCAATTATTTAAGATATTTATTGAGCGCTTAATAAATGCAGGGAAGGAGAGAACAATATGGGACACAGCAAATAATAAAACACGTTTTCATAAAGTTAAATTGTGGTAAGACAGGCGATCAAAAAAGCAGCAAATAAATTAACAAGATCATTACATTATATGACAGAGGCTGTGAGGGCCTGTGATAAGGAGTACCTGGGGAAGATCACCTTAGATAAGGCACTCAAAGCGGTGTGAATTCTCAACAGAAGAAATCTGCCACCCTAGACCCATGGAGGAAGGAACATCAAAGGCAAAGGCTCAGGGTGAGAAATAACATGGCATGTTTGAGGGATGGAAAGGAAACCACTAAGGAGGGTATCTGGCAAAGAAAAGAGTCATAGGAGACAACAAGAGAAGTAGCAGCACCCAAATCATGTAAGGTCTTGCAAACCATGGTAAAGAATTTGGATCTTAGGCCAAGAGCAATGAATGGGAAGCCCCAGGTTTGAAGTAGGAACATGGCATGATCCGACTTTTTTTTTTTTTAATCACTTGGGCTGCTGGGTGGGAAAACCACTGCAGGGGGATAAAGGGAAGTAGGGAGACCAGTAAAGAGGCATCTGTATTTGTTCAACTGAAAAGTGACGGTGGCTTTAGGCAGGGATTGTGACCATGGAAATAAAGACAGGTGAAGAGATTTGAAATACAGACGGATTACATGTGTACGTGTGAGGAAAAGGAGGGCTTTACTTTAACAAGTGGGTGAAGGGATCATTTATTGAGTGGGAAAAGGTGGGGGAAGGGACAGGTTTAAAGAGGAAAATCAAGAGTTTTGCTTTGCCCTTGACAAATATTTAAGAAACCTATTTGATATCCAGGTGGAGAAGTCAGGTTGGATCGACTCTGGAACTCTGGGGTGAGATTTAACTGAAGATATTATTCTGGGGGGCCGCACACTACAGCACTCTGATCCATCCGTCTTCTGGGGCCACAAAATAACTTGCAATGCCTTTTTCCTAGTCAGCCCTCTGCATCTGCAGGAGGCTGCACTGTAACCTGTGGGCAACAGGGAGCAGGAATGAGGCTACGCGGGAGAGCCAATGGGCAGGTAGGGCTCCGGGGGAATCGCCCCGGGCGCATCACTCCTCGCGAGGATTAAAGCACAGCGACGTCGGTAAGGACCAGAGCAGCGACACAACCGCCTGCCTCCCCCTGCAGTCGTAACGTCGTCTCCTCCGGGCAGATGGGCACGGGGCAGCCTCCGCCCCCCACTTCCAGGAGTCCGGCCTCCCCGCTCCCCACACCTTGCCTCCTGCCCTCTTCCAGCATCTCCCCCTAAGCCCGGCTAGGTCTCGCTCTCACCCGCCTCCTTCTCCTCATGCCCGGCCATGGTCTCGCCCTTGGCCTTCCGGCCGCATGGTTCGCGTCCCTGCGGCTTCCTACCGGCAGCGCGCTTCCGAACCATATTGCCCAGGTAAGACTCCCCTCGAGAGTGACGCACCAACACCGCGGGAAGCTGAGTGCCGGCTCCGCCCCAAGCGGGGCCAGGCACGGCCACGCCCTTCCTTACAGACCTAGTCTACGCCCATGAAGCTCCGCCTCAGCTTCAAATGACCAATACAAACCGTACGAAGCAAGACGGCGCGTAGCGGATTTCTTTCTCCTTCCGGCGCATGGCCGTTTCGCATTTCCTTAGACAATAGTGAGGGGCTCGCATACTCTCGCGAGAGGCGGGAAAAGGCCCAGGGTTTGAGACATGGCGGACGACGTGGACCAGGTGAGTGAGTTTTGAGGGGCTCGCTCCAAAGCGGCTTCTTCACTACCAGTCCTGGCCCCGCTAAAGGAGCACTAGGGCTCTGTGGTGTGTATGTTATAGAATTACTGTGTATTTGTTAATATGCCTCTCCCCACTAGAATGAACTGCTTGAGGGCAGGGACTGACCTCTCTATCCTAATCTAGTAGTTACTTAGCTGGTTCTTAACAAACACCTGTTTAACTGGGGATGCGGACCAGTTCAGGTCAGGTTTGCCTCCCTCCCCGCCCTCCCCCCATCTAGCTTTTTAAGGCTGTAGAGCCTGTAACATTCGGTCACATACCTCCACTAGCCTAATGTACTCACTGAAGAAGCTCTCCTTGAATAATCTTATCAACTCCTGGCTTCAACCATCTCTTGCGTTTGGATGACTCAAAGTCATCTTAGCGCTGATCTGTCACAGTTCTTTAATTGGTAATAAGAAGAACCATTTCTAAGTACTCTCAGATTGCCAGGTACTATTTTAAATACATTAAATATATTGATTTAATATATTAGCTCATCTAATACTCAAAAGAATCATGAAGGGAAGATAGGACTTCCTCATTTTACAAACAGGGAAGCTGATAATTAGAGATGGCATGATTTTTAATCTGAATTCATAAGTATCACAGGGCGCCTAGGTGGCTCAGTCGGTTAAGCCTCTGACTCATGATTTCAGTTTAGGATGGTGAGATCGAGCTGCATATGGAGCTCTGCACTGGGCATGGAGCCTGCTTAAGATTCTGTCTCTCCCTCTGCCCCTCTGTATGTGACAGCATGTGCTGTCTCATAAATTAATTAATAATACAGGTGTGAATTCATAAGTATCAGATTCAGGAGTTGAACCCATACTGCCTGACTTCAAAGCTAGTGCCTTCGATCAACATTCTACTTATTCATCTTGCTGGCCAGTTGGTACCCTAAACTCAACCTGACCCAAACTGAACCCATAATCTTCCTTCAAACTTTCATCTTTCCTTAGCATTCTGATTAGTGTGTGGTAATCATTAATGTTTTTCAAATCACTAAATGATATTTGAGATAAGGTTAAAGGCTCAAGAGAGTGACTTCCTATAACTGAAATTGGGTCAGGCCGTTTGGATTTTGAGGAAACGAAGTACAGTCATGATTATTTTGCTGTATAACTCCTTCCTGTATATGTATGTTTCAGCCTTCATTTATATAGCACTTACTATGATCCAGACTCTGTTCTAAGCCTTCATAATGTCATTTAAGCCTCACAACAACAGTATTAGGTAGGCACTATTATTACTCAAATTTTACAGGTTCAGAGACTGAGGCATAGAGGGGTTAAGTAACTTGCCCACAGTCACACAGTATAGCAATGATTTGAACACTGCACTCTCTAGTACTATATTACTAAGCCTGTTTCTTTTATCAGCAACAAACTACCAACACTGTAGAAGAGCCCCTGGATCTCATCAGGCTCAGCCTGGATGAGCGAATTTATGTGAAAATGAGAAATGACAGAGAGCTTCGAGGCAGATTACATGTAAGTAAATTTATTAAATTACTTTGAAATCAGATTATTTCCTTGTCATCCCTTCCTAACCCTACTCCTTTGAAATATAAACACTGTCCCATGTAGAAGAGTATTTTGAATGTAGATAAGAGAAAGGTAGGTCACTCGTATTTGTACGAGCCAAGTACAACTACATTTTATTCATATTTTTTTAAGAGGTTTTATTTATTTATTTGACAGAGAGAGAGATAGCGAGAGCAGGAACACAAACGGGGAGTGGGAGAGGGAGAAGCAGGCTTCCCGCTGGGCAGGGAGCCCGATGTGGGGCTTGATCCCAGGACCCTGGGATCATGACCTGAGCTGAAGGCAGACACTTAATGACTGAGCCACCCAGGCGCCCCTGTTCATATTTTTAACATGTTTTCTCCTAACAAAAATGATGTGTTTATTAAAGAACATTTTCATTTTTTCATTTTTGCCTTCTGTTTATTTGTAAATAGCATTTACTCTCCATTCTTGTTTCAGTGTTCTTTCAGTTACTGATATGTACATAAATTTTTGTTTTCTTGTGAGAAAAATTAAATAGCCCAGAAGGACATAGAGTAAAAGGTGAAATTCCATTTTTTCTTTTGCTAACCACTTAAAAAATGGGTCTGTCTTTTAGATCTTTTCTGTATATTTCCACACATATACATATATGTGATCACATGCATATATTTGCACTGTATACACCACCTCTAAATAAAAATGGATCTTACTATACATCTTTTTGAGCACCTTTCTTTTTCACTTAATCTTTCTTGAAAATTATTGATCATGAGTGTGTGTAAGTCTCCTTTATTTTTAATGACTGTATAGAATTCTGTATATAGTAATAGTGGTTTTTAAGATTGTTTTCTATTTCTTGCTATTAAAAATAATGCTGTAGTATGTATTTTTGTACCTTTTTTAATGTATGTCTGCAAATATTTCTATAGGACTGGTCCTTTGAAATGGTCTTATTTATTCATAATTCATAATTATGAATGTAATTCATAATTTATTCCACTGAATGTTTTGCCTTTTCTTGACAACTTGTTGTTTTCTTGAATATATTGTTTTTATTACTGCCATTCTACCTTAAAGTGATTTAAAATAGTTAATATTTATTGAGCATTAATTACATGCCAAGTGCTCTCATTATAAGTGTTTTGTATGGGGGCGTCTGAGTGGCTCAGTCAGTTAAGCATCCGACTCTGGATTTCGTCTCAGGTCATGATCTCAGGGTCGTGGGATTGAGCCCCACCTCAGGCTCCACACCCAGCACAGAGTCTGCTTGTCCCTCTCCTTCTGCTCCTCCTCCTGTGCTCTCTCTCTTTCAAATAATTAAAAAATAAATACGTGTTTTGTATGTAATACCTCATTTAACCTTTATAACAATCCTATGAGGGTAGATACTCATTAGTCCTGTTTTGCATTTGAAGAAGCTCAGGCTCAGGAAGGTGAAGTTACCTGCTTAAGGTGACACAGCCAGTAAAGGGAGGGCCAGAATATGAACCTAGGCAGTCTGACTGCAGCCCTACTCTTAAGTACGCTGATTCCACCTTCCATAAAACCTAAAGGTAAAGAACCTCCTGTATTTGGAAAGGAAGTAGGGACCTAGGAAGACAGTAGTCTTAATATGCAGCTAGCTTTACGAGAAGAGGAACCCCAGGAAATGGAATAGTGACAACTTTGCCAAGAAAAATGGAATTGCGCTTTATCATTGGGCCAGTGGCATGTGGACAGACACCCCAGGACAGATATGTTGTCTAAGCTCTTGGAGGCTTCTTCAGTTCCCTGCTAAACTTGATTGCCTCTATACTCAATGGCCCCCAGCCTTTTGTGTGTTTGTTTTCTGGCCCTTATGTACAGATTTTTGCTCTTAGTGTGCTTTGCTACCAGTTCCCCACATGGCTGATGGGCTACTTTTATTTTGATGTGAGCTGGTAAACCATTTAACACTGTTAGAAGTAAGCCTAAGTGGGTTCTGAACAAGGCCCCTGGAGTTAGATCTTTTAGTAAAATATATGAGCTTTGGAGTTTGGATTGAGGACATCCCTGAATATCAGAATTGCAACATTTATTGTGAGCCCCCAGGTGCCAAACACAGTTTATTTTGGCTAGGTTTTAAGTGGGCAAGGTGTTGCTCTACTTACTTTACATGGTGGTATTTAGTGTAGGACAAGGGAGGGTTGAAGAGCAGCATGTTATGCCTTTGGGAGACCACAGTACCATCTTCTTAGCAGTTAAAGAATTTTATTTCCTTTACTGCCTCTTTCTTGTCATGCTGTTACAGCAGGAATCGAAAGAAGTCTACTGAGAAGTGATGAATTTGCTTTTTTTTCATAATTAAATATTATAAATGATGTGACTGCCATGAATGACCAGTAGGGTGGACACTTTAAAAAAAAATTTTTTTTCAAGTTATTTTGAGTAAACTCATTTTGGGCCAATATAAACAGCTTTGCATTTTTATCAGGTCAATTAAATTATCACTGGAAATAATTTGTGAAGAAACAGTGTATTACTAGCAGAATTATATTTTACTTCCGTATAAAAGTTTGTGGCATAAGTATTGTGCAGAAGTCCTGTTCATTGTTTCTTAATTTGATTGTTAAATTTCTTGGTCCCTCACCTTTCCACTTTAGGCTTATGATCAGCATTTAAATATGATATTGGGAGATGTGGAAGAAACTGTGACTACTATAGAAATTGATGAGGAAACATACGAAGAGATATATAAAGTAAGTCATGCAGTTCTGTTCCTCACTTTTAAAACGTCAATTGTTCTTCGTATCCAACAGCTTCTCACTACTTACAGGAAGCCTGTCATGATTTGATACCTAATTGGACTCAGTAAAGTATAGCAATCAAAAGCAAAAGCTTTGGGGTCAGACAGACCTGGTTTCCAGTCCTGATGTGGCCATGTCCTATCTGGGGTACCTTGGGCCAGGGAATTAATTTGGCAGATTTAATTTCCTCAGTCTTAAGCAGAAATACTACCACTTAGCTCGTACGGTTGCCAGTATTCATGGATACATGTGAGTGTAAGATGCCTATGTGTGCTAATATATGAGTAATGCTGGACAATGTTCTTATGTTTGATGTGGATCTGAGCTATCAGTAATTAAAACTGAGAAATTCTAAAAATACTCCTTAAAAGTAATAGTAAGCCTATTACATGTTAACATAAGTAACATTCTTATTAACAATAACTACTAAAACAAAATGGTGAGAAGCATCTTTATTTTAC